TTTTTTTTTTTTTTTTGCAGTTTTTGGCCAGGGCTGGGTTTGAACCCGCCATCTCCAGCATATGGGGCTGGCGCCCTACTCCTTGAGCCACATGCACCACCCTCAATTCTCTTATTTTTCTGAAAGTTTGCACGATTTCTGCCCCTCCGTGCTTCTGCACGCACCCCGGCATCTTCATGGGCATGCACTGCTGTAGCTACCCACAGAGGCTCCCCACTCAGAGGGCCCTGTGCTTGGGGTTTCAAGATCTGTGGCTGATGTCTTAAAATTTATAACAATTTTATCTTTTTTTAAGGCACAGTCTCATTATGTCACCCTTAGTAGAGTGCTGTGGCATCACAGCTCACAGCAACCGCAAACTCTTGGGCTTCAGTGATTCTCTTGCCTCAGCCTCCCAAGTAGCTGGGACTACAGGTGCCGGCCACAATGCCCAGCTATTTTGTTGTTGTAGTTGTCATTGTTGTTTGGCGGGCCCAGGCTAGGTTCGAGCCTGCCAGCTCCCGTGTATGTGGCTGGTGCTCTAGCCGCGGAGCTGTAGGCGCTGGGCCAACAATTTTATCCTTGAATTTGTGTTTTGTAAGTGTTAGGCCTATGCTAAAGTAGAAAAATACCATTTAACTCCTGGCAAATTCCTGGGCTGCAGGCCCTCAACAAAATGGAGTAAGTCTGGTTCACTCCCAAGATAGATGGGAAAGTACTCACTAGCTTCTTGCTTGACTAACTCCCTGCAAAACGAAGTGACTATCCTGACTGACCTTTAAACAATGCCAGGTGGAGAGAATACTGAGACAAAGATGTGTGGAAGAAAAGTGCTGGGACTAAGATGTATGGGAAAATATTAAAACAAAGATGTATGACTAACCACAAAATTCTGCTTCTGTACAATGCTTACTTGCTTCTCCACCCGAACGCATCTGGACAGCCTGCGTGCCAACCAGGATGCAGACCAAGCCTTAAAAACCTGACTCCTTAAGCACTCAGGGCTGCTCTCAGAAACCCCATGTTGGGACACTGAGGCAGTCGCCGGCCAGCTCTTCAATAAAAGGACTCTGCTGTAAATTTGGCTTGTTTGGCAGTGTGGTCTTTGTGGAACTCCTGGGTACAACATAAATGAGATTCTATGGGACAGTAGGTATGCACAGGGGACTTGGAGCCTCAGCTCGCCAGTGATGTCCCCTCTATCACCTGCCTGCCTCTTGGCTGCCCACGACTCTTCACCCTGTCCCCTAGGCCAGGGTGCATTTTATACTCCCCCCCCACCCCCAATATCTCTCCACCTATGAGTCCTCCTTCAGCCTCTCCATGACTGGGGAAACCCTTGTTCTCCCTCCAATCTGCTGGTGGTTATTGTCAGGTTTAAATATACTTAAATACCTGCCACACACATACAAATATTCTTCTCCCCTCAATTTTTTTGAGACAGGTTTTCTTATTTTGTTGCCCTGAGTTGGAGTACAGTGGCATCAGCATAGCTTGCAGCAACCCCAAACTCCTGGGCTCAAGTGGTCCTCCTGTCTCAGCCTCCCCAGTAGCTGGGACTACAGGCACCCACCACTGCATCCAGCTACCATCTGTTCTGACGAAGCGTAAGTTCATGTTAGAAAATGTATTTGTTGTCCACTGCTGTATAACAAGCCATTCCCCCTAACTGGGGCAGCTTAAAACAATAACATTTACTCATTTATTATCTCACATAGTTTCTGTGGGTCGAGAACTTGGGTGTGGCCTTGCCAGGCAAGTTCTGTTTCTGCATATTGCAGTCAAGGTCTTGGCTGGGCTATCAGTGTCAGAAGGCTTGACTAGGGTCGAAGAAGATGTTTCTAAGATCTGAGCCATGGCTGTTGGCAGGAGGCCTCAGTTTCTTGCTTGACAGGAGACTTTGATCACTCTGAGTGGCCCTTTTCATATGGCGACTGGCTTCCCCCAGAGCAAAGGATCTGAGAGAGATCGGAGGGAGCCACCAGGCCTTCCCTGACCTAGTCTCAGAAGTCACACCAGAAGCTTTGCCACATTCTGTTTGTTAGATGCAAGTCACAAAGTCTAGCTCACTTCCAAAGGGAGAAGAGTTAGGCTTTACATCTTTAAGGAAGAGTATCAAAGACTCTGTGGATATATTTTAACAGGACGTTTTCGAATTCAAATAATTGCAAGGCTTCTATCAGGAAAATAAAAGCTTTATCGATAGGCATCAACCATGGGATTAATTTATTGTTAGTAGTGATAGGAAACTTTTGGGTCAGGATCATGACTGATTTATGGGCCTAAATATCAGGGAAGTTTTTGGTGAAGATTTTTCAGAAATTATTGTTTTACTTTTTTTAAAATTATTTTTCCACCAGAACTTCCCTCTATTGCCCAGCTTAGATTGGTGTGGTGTGCTCACAGCTCACAGCCTCCAACTCCTGGCCTCAAGCGATCCTCCTGCCTCAGCCTCACAAATGTCAGGATGACAGGCATGAGCCACCTGGCCTGGTTAAGAATGGTATGTGTCCTCTGAGCTTCCTGGACCATTAACTGGGGGGGACATTCTAAGTGATTATTAATTACTTCATATATTGTTTTTATGTTCCTTTCTCTTTTTCTTCTCCTTCTGTTATTCCCATTATATGCTTGTTATACTGTTTACAAAAGGCATATCTCAAAATTGTACTTTCCTCTCCACTTGCCAGAAGCACAGGGGATTTAAAAAATCTTTTTTATTTTTTTTGAGACAGAGTCTCAAGCTGTCACCCTGGGTAGAGTGCTGTGACATCACAGTTCATAGCAACCTCAAACTCTTGGGCCTAAGCGATTCTCTTGCCTCATCCTCCCAAGTAGCTGGGACTACAGGTGCCCACCACAATGCCCAGATATTTTTTGTTGCAGTTGTTATTGTTGTTTTAGCTGGCCGAGGCTGGGTTTGAACCTGCTAATCTCGGTGTATATGGCTGGCGCCCTACCCACTGAGCTACAGGCACCGCCTAAAAACATCTTTATTGTGAGAATGTGCTTCTGGAGGTAAACTCACAAAAGTGTGGGGCCCTCCCTCTGGCAGGCCACCTAGAGCTTTTTTTTTTTAAGTGATATTTATTTATTTATTTTTATTTATGTATTTGTTTTTTTGAGACAGAGTCTCGCTAAGTCACCCTTGGTATAGTGCTGTGGAGTCACAGCTCACAGCAACCTCAAACTATTGGGCTTAAGCAATTCTCTTGCCTCAGCCTCCCAAGTAACTGGGACTACAGGCATTTGCCACAAAGCCCAGCTATTTTTTTTTTTTTTTTTGAGACAGAACCTCAAGCTGTCACTCTGGGTAGAGTGCTGTGGCGTCATAGCTCACAACAACCTCCAACTCTTGGGCTTAAGCGATTCTCTTGCCTCAGACTCCCAAGTAGCTGGGACTATAGGCATCCGCCACAATGCCCGGCTATTTTTTGGTTGTAGTTGTTGTTGTTTGGCAGGCCCAGGCTGGATTCGAACCTGCCAGCTCTACACCAGCAGCCTGCCAAAGGCTGACCCAGGTGTGACTGGCTCCTTAGCCTCTTGAGCTATAGGTGCCGAGCCAGGTCCAGCTATCTTTTGGCTGTAGTTGTTCGAATCCACCAGCTCCGGTGTATGTGGCTGGTGCCCTAGCTGCTGAGCTACAGGTGCAGAGCACCCTGGAGCTCTTAAGTCTTGCCCGTGCCAGGTTTTGACACTGGCGTAGGTTGGTGTAACCAGCACCACATCAGGGCCCAGAACAGCTGTCTGCATTACTGAATAGGCCTGTGGGGGTCTGCATCACCTGGGTCCCGTGGTCATTAGCCACAGAGCCTGTGGCTCAGGGCCCAGCGAGCTCAGAAGTGGGCCCTGAGGAGTCCTGGGGCTCTTCCCATCCAACAGGACCAGGGGTGGAGTGGACCCTCTGTGATGGCCGGAGCATTCATCTCTTTTATTCCATTTCCAGACAAACCATCTGAAAATTGGGTGGGCCTGTGTGTTTCCCTGCTTAGGCCTTTGCCCCCTCCCTGAGCATCTGAGGACAGGGCCACACACGTGGTCTTTGAGCCTCTCCCTGCTCCCCATGTCCCCTGTCCCACTCCTGTCCCCACCCGGCTCCCCACCCGGCTCAGCAGAGCAGACTGCCTCCCTCTCTTGTGGGGCAGACAAACCCCTGTTGGCTGAGCTCTCACGACACTTTATTTTACCTCCATTTAGCACTGATTTCACCATCGTTGTACCATTTTCCAGTGTATCTCTCTCTCCTCTGACATTTTAAGTGAGGTGAGACCAGGCACTTGGTCTTACTTCTTCCAGGGGCCCTTGAGGTCCAGTATCTTGTGCCTTCTGTTTGGGAAGGAGGGGCTCTGGGGGCTGTTCATGGGGGCCCTTTCTGGCACCACCCTTGCTGTTACCTCAAATTAAAGGCCCCTCTCTCCTCTCTTTGCCCAGCTAAATCCTACTTCTCTTCTATAGCTAGTTTAAGACCAATTCCCTCCCCACGCCCCGGGAAGCTAGTTTCAATCTTGGCATCCCCAGACACTTCCTGGGGCATAGAGAGTTTGAAGAGCTTCTCAGTGGACCAGATAGCCCAAAGATTGGGCTCAGTCTCCCCTGCAGCAGGCAGGCTGGTGAGAGGAAGGGGACAAGGCTGAGTGGGAAGGAGATGCTGGGAGCCCAAGGAAGAGACTCTGGACTGGATTGGGAAGTAAGTGAGCACCTCTGCTCTGAGGGCAGAGGAGACAGAAGACAGCAACAGGTGTGGGCTGATCCAGCAACTTCGGGCTTTACAGTGGACCCAGGATGCACAGGGCTGCGGGGGCGGGGGGGGATGTGCAGGGTGGGGGTGGAGGAGGTGGGCCAGGGAAAGGGTGGCTGCCAGGCTCTGCAGTGGGAGGCTCTGATGGAGGCCTCTAGTGTCCTGATGGTGTGACATGGTCAGACCAGCTATGGAGGGCAGTCTGACAGTGGTCAGGCTGGTCCTGGAGGCTGGTCCTCTGGTGGTCAGGCTGACCAGGGTGCCCACAGCTGGGCCCACATCCTTAGCAGGAGATGAGGAGGGGGCTGGTGAGTGCAGGAGCTTCAGAGGTCAGTTCAGAGGGCTGTCCCTGCAAAAGCTCACAGCCAGCCAAGGCTCCATGCAGGGCATTCAGGATGGCCAAGGGGCCAGAGCTCCCCTCTAGAGGGAGAGAGAGGGGGCAAAGAGGGCAAGGTCAGTCTGCTCACCTTCACCCACAGAGCCCTCTCCCTTCTCCCTGCTCCCCCATCATACCCTGTACCCTCCCACCCTGCCCAGCTCTGTCTGAGGACCTGAGAGGGGCTTCTAGCACGTGACTCCTGATCTGGGTGCCAGGGACTGTTCAGGGACATACCTGGACATCCCTGAGCTCTGCCTAGTGACGCCAGAGAGGCTAGTGAGCAAAGGCTCATCAATCACCCCAGGAGCCACTGAGGCCCTCAGAGGCAGGAGACAGCCCTGCTTCTCGTGACTGCACTGGGTCCAGCTGGCACCAATGACATTTTGCTGCCCTAAACTTTGTCTAAACAACAGGGACCAAGTATCTTAGTGCTTAAGGAAGGTACCCAAAGCCTCAGGTGTGGCCACAGGTGACCCTCTGTGCCTCAGTCTCTTCATCTGCAGAATGGGGATAATAGCTCCTTCCTTTTGGGGCCCTTGTAAGGACTCATTTGCCAGGCTCTCCAGCACCTGGCTGCTGGGTGGCCTAGCTCCCTCTGTGGATTTGACCTTGCTGGCCTCTGTCTGGCACATCTCCCAGGGGCTCCCACACTCTGCTCTTGTTAAATAGCCCTTTCAACTTTGTGAGGCCTGTTCCCAGGACACCCGGCAGGTGTTCAGGGCAGGTAGATGAGGACATTTTGCAGGGGGACACTCGCCTACCTTGGTCTCTGCAGGTATCCAGCGTGCTCAGCAAAATCTTCCCCAGGGCTCTTTTCGATATGTTCTTAAAAAGAAATGGGGGCAGGGCTGGATGAGACTGTGGCTGCTGTGTCCCTATTCAGCATGTGAGACTTGGTGGCCCCAGGGGGTTTCTGTGAAGCTTCCTGGGGGCTGAGAAGGCCCTCTACTCTCTCCCACCCCTACTTCTGGGCTGGCCACTGGGCTTCTCAGAGACTCCTTGAGGGTGAATGGAGCATGAAGTCATAAACTAAAGGATTTACACTTAAAGGTCCCCACCTACATGCTGGGGTGGGTATTTGGGAAATAACCATAACTAAGAAAGCATTTTTTGTATTTGTTCCTTTGATTCTTGCAACAATTAATTGTATTACGTCCCTTTTAACCAGCAATAAAAGTAATGCTGGGAAAGAATGAGAAATTTGCTCAAAGCCACCCAGCTGGGAGGTAGAAAGGCTGGCTGAGAGCCTGTGCTGTGACCAGACACCTCATGGCCTGCCAGGAAGCCTGGTGCACAGGGAGCACCCCCTCAGAGCCCTGCACACTGGGCTTCAGATCTTACTTTCATCTTGTATTGGCTGTAGAATCTTGGGTAAATTCATAGATCTCTTAAACATTTTTTTTTTTGAGACAGAGTCCTACTTTGCTGAGTGCTATGGTGTCACAGCTCACAGCAACCTCAAACTCTTGGGCTTAGGTGATCCTCTTGCCTCAGCTTCCTGGGTAACTAGGACTATAGGCACCTTCCACAAAGCCTGGCTATTTTCTTTTCTTTCTTTTTTTTTTTGGCTGGGGCTGGGTTTGAACCCGCCACCTCCGGCTTATGGGGCCAGCGCCCTACTCCTTTGAGCCACGGGCGCTGCCCATGCCTGGCTATTTTTAGAGACAGGGTTTTCCTCTTCCTCTTGCTCAGGCTGGTCTTAAACTCTTGAGCTCAAGACATCCACCCACCTCAGCCTCCCAGAGTGCTAGGATTATAGGCATGAGCTACTGCACCTGGTCTATTTATTTATTTTTAAAATTAAAGTTTTATTTTATTTTATTTTTAGAGTTGTTATTTCTCTCTGTTGCCCAGACTGGAGTGCAGTGGTGCGATCATAGCTCATGGTAACCTTTAACTCCTAGGCTCAAGAGATCCTCCAGAACTGCAGCCTCCCAAGTAGCTGGGGTTGCAGATATGTACCACCATATCCAGGTAATTAAAAAAATCCCTCTTTCTAGAGATGGCATCTCACTGTGTTGCCCAGGCTGGTCTCAAACTCCTGACTGCCACTCATCCCCTGGCCTGGCCTCCCACAGTGCTGGGGTTACAGGCATGAACCACCATGTCCCCCACAAGAGGATCTGTCATCCAAGGAGACTGAATTTATTTATTTTTTTCTTAGGAGACTGAATTTTACCTGCTTGCCTTTTCTGCATCTGCAGAGATCATCGTATGGGTTTTCTCCTCTTTTTTTTTTTTT